CCTCCCAAGGTTGAGAAAGTCATTTCATCAAAATGACAATATGCAAAACGTACAGTAAATAAATCACTTGTTAAAGGTTCAAGATACCTAATAATAGATGGTGAATCAAAACCCACATAAATCTCAAGCCTTAGTTGGGAACCCATTTTAGTCCGTTATGGGGGTGAAATAGGAATTTGAACAGCACAACCAAAAACCTGCAGGTGAGAAATATTAGGTTCATGACCAAATACCAGTTGCAAATGTGAATATAGATCATATGCAATTGGTCTGATACAAACAAATGACGCAATATATAATTTGGCATGACCCCAAACAGAAGCCGTGAGTTTTATTTTCATAAGTAATGGTCTAGAATAAGTTGTAGACGTTTAATAAATGACTCCACTAAACCATTTTGTCTATGGACATGCACAACCGAATGTTCAATAACAATCTCAATTGACATGCAATAATCATCGAATGCTTATTATCTAAATTTACCAGCATTGTTAAGACGAATAGTCATGGTTGAGTAGTCAGGGAATTGCACTCGAAATTTTATGATTTGAGCAAGCAGTCTAGTAAAAGCAACATTCCTAGTGTAAAGTAGGCAAACGTGTAACCATTTAGTGGATGACTTTCCAAAAATTGATAATTCAATATTGACATTTATAGTCGAAGGTCTAATGACTGACTTGCTTTGCAAGCAAGCTACATATAATCATTAAGTAAAAGAATCTTCTGGTTCTTTAAAAGATATCCACGTGAGTTGTTTATTATTCGACACATCATTATAACTCCTGGATGTCCACGTCGATCATTGCAAAGTATAAAAATTTTGTATCAAAGAACTTCTGGTTCGTGAAAATATTTTATTTGACCATTTTTATAAATGTATAATACATGCCGATGCTCATATACAAAAGAAGTTATGCAAAGATATTCAATATTATTTTCTTGTATCGTCTCAATTTGATATCCATTGTAGCAGATATCTTTAAAACTATGCAAATTTATTTTGAATTTACTAGAATAAAGTGCATCTTCAATATATAAATTTGAATTATTTGATAAAATAATACAAGCTCTTCCTGAGCCTTCAACAATATTCGATGCACTTAATATCGTATTAACATTATTTTCTACTAATGTCAAGTTCAAAAATATTTTTTGTCTTGAAGAATAGTATGTGTAGTTGTATTATCTATCAAGCAAGTATCTTAACAATCCATCATAAATCTATAACAAAACATATTTATANAGAAAGTAAACTAATATATATCTTTTATTAGACCACCCCAATCAAATGGTCAATATTCCTATTTGGATCAACAAAGAATTTAGAGACATCCAAATGAGTCACACCAATTGGACCATCATAATCAGCAAAATTTGTTTCCATTTTCCCTTTTCCCTTGATTGATCTTTGGTATATATCCACAAAGTGTTTTGCCGTACGACACGTACGTGCCCAATGTCCTTTCATCCCACATCTAAAGCAACTTTCTTTACACTCATTTTTGGATGTGCTACTTTCATTTGCTTTGTGCCTTTTGAAATTATTGACATGTTGCCGATATTTTTGTTGATTATTTCATCCATAATTTATTCCACGTATACGTCCGTATCTACGTTCACGTCCACGTCCTTGTCTTAATATTGTATTTGTTTCAAGCAATGCAGTACATTTGCTTCAGGCAATGGTACAGAACCAGTTGATGTAACCCATGATTTTCATCAACAATTCATTATTTCTTTCGGCCACAAAGCAAACAAGATATGACTTCTGAGTACTTTTTGAAACCACGCTCTCGATAATGCTGCTCAGGAGCACATTCGAGGTGTGAAAGATAGAAAAAATTTTCTCTAACATGTTCATCAGTGATTTTTGCTCCACACAAGGTCAATTTTGAACATATTCTGAATAGTTCAAAATTGTACACATTAACAGATTTGAAGTCTTGCAAATGAAGGTACATCCACTCATAGCGGGTTTTGGGGAGGACAATAGTCATCTGATAATCAAATCTTTCAGTTAATTTTTTTTCAAAGAATCTGTGGATCATTCTCAGTAATATATTTAATTTTCAACCCATCGTAAAGATGATGACGAAGGAAAATGAGTGCTTTTGCACGATCATGCAGGGATTTTTTGCTTCTTTATTTTATTATCTCTCATAAACATTTTGAGACAAGATGGATATCGGCATCGAGTAACCATTACAAATTGTTTTTGCCAGATATGTCAAGTGCAGCAAACTCAAGTTTTGTGATATTTGTCATTTGATTAACTACACAATAAAGCAAAAAGAAATACAATTAGTTTCGAAAAATATGATTAAATATCAAGTAGTCAATATCAACATGACATAAGTTACGTATTTTCCTTCAATGATAAACACTAATTTAAATTCGAAACATGTGCTACTTCGGGTGCACGTTTTATTTTACTATTACTTTTTCGAGAGTAATATGTCAATATTCTTCTAAAATATTGAAAAATATAATTAATGCTCTTTAGGAGCAAGTAATATTCTTTTGGAATATTAATTATAGTGTTATGCTACTTCAGGAGCAACAACAAACTATTTATAATAGATATATTTATGATTAATATTCTTTTGGAATATTAGTTATAATGTTTTGCTACTTCAAGAATAACAACATGATAAATTATTAATTTAAGGTTTATAGAAGAACATTTACAAATATTTAATCGGGTTAAAGACATAAAAATATTCAATAATCATCTTAAATACATATATTTTGCAAACATAAATAAATATAAATCAAGGAACCCGCATAACGATTTAACAGAAAATATATTCACGTAATCGCACTATTTTGTAATTAAAAAAAGTAAGGGATACACACGTAATCATTAGAAACACGTAATCATATTGAGGGATGCACAATACATGATTGGATTTTGAGTATACTTCTTTAATAACACAATTAAATAGGGTAATTGGATTCCACAAATTTTGATGTGAAGAAAATTTGGCAGAAACCAATTTCATGTACTTACAAAAGCTGGGAGAAACCGATTGGAGCATTAATTGGACATCAAGGAAATTGAGTACAAATATGCATACAAATACTCACAAATTTGAGTAAGAATATTTATAAAATTTTAAGATTATGCATGTATGTTGTGTTAAAAATTAATTATGTGTGTATGCGACAATGAAATAAAAATAATGTGTATTTTATTTGAGATTGCATATAGACTACGTTCAAACTAATTTACTATATATTTAAAGAATCGTGTTGATAACGTGTTATGGAATAAAAATAATAAAATAAGAAGAGAATAAAATATAAGAATGAAAACTCAAGTGTATCTTTTATTGAGAATCATGACTTGTATTTATAGGATTAAAATGAGAGTTGCAATTGAAATGAAATAGGCTTTCTACACTAGATAAGACTTATCTATGAATCATGATAATACTAAATAATAATCTATGTTATAAATTTAACTTTATTTTCAAAAATGCAGTTTAAAAAAAACCGAACCAAACACATTTTCAACATTTTACAAAGCTGAAAAAAGTTTGAAAACATGAAACTAAATGCACCTACGTGATTTTATTGTTTTGTCTATCATTATTTTTCTTCAAACTCATTTTCAACCATACATTCTTACAATAAAAATATTTTATATGTAAACTCAAAAAATTTTTAACTACACATTTTTTAAAAAATTTACTATTTCAAAACTCATTTTCATTGAATAATAGTAGACGAAAAAGGGCAAAATTTATGTATTTAGAGGTTTCTCAACCTTTTTTGTTAAAAGTTTTAGTAAATTGATAAAATTGGTAAAATGTAGAATCAAAAAATTAATAAAAATTGTGAATCCACGAAATGTATAAATAAAATTTTCTCAAACAAGCCCTTAAATGGGTTTAGAATCGACAGCTTCAATCTAAGGTTGAGGTCTCATGGCTACATCATGTAAAAGGTTGAGGAGTCCAACCCTAACTTTTTTTGTTTTTTTTTAAATGATAGTAATAAAGTTGTGAATTTAATTCACGAAATGAAATGTTTAGTACGGGATATTGAAGGGTGAAAACCTTACAAGTATTGTGTTAGACATATGGTCATCAAAATATAGCCTTCTATAGGCCATTAAGGTGAGATGAAATCATATGTAAAATGGAATATACTATTACAATTTTTTCCCCGTTTAATTACATTTACAATCTCATGATTTTATGCTGACTTTGATATCGGAATATAGAGAAACACCCACACCCATTTTATGAAGGTATGTTTGGCATTCTCGGAGCTAAATCAATTGTAAAATTTAAACCTAGCATTATGAATTTTCACATGTTCATAATAATTGTACAGTGATATAATGAATCGAACCAAAACTAATCGATTCCATTTTGATCCTATCTCTAGTGTTTACCATTTATGTAAATTCATATACGATGTCATTGACTAATTATAAATAAAATAACTTTAGAACTAAAAATTCAATTTTGCTGCTATACCAAATGCTTTAATTAGAACTAAACCGGCCAATTCGGTCCGGTTTATTGTGGACCGGATAATACACCACTTCACAACAAACCACAAGTATATAAACGTCAGCTTTATTGTTGCATTTTTCCTTCTCTTCGAAAAATCCTCGCTCTTTCGCTCATCCTGAAAATATAAAGAAGCGATTCTTTGTTTCGCATTTTCGCCTAGCTTATCATATTGAAAATCCTCCTTTTCTCTCTCTAGAAACCCTAGTTTCCTTGTAATTCTTGTCGCGTTTATCGATTCATAATTCGTCGTCACTCGAAGAAAATCGAATTTATTGTAATTGGATGTTATTGATATTTGGTATTCGTTCCGCATAAGATTAAATATATAGAAATTGAGTTCTGAATCTATTTGGTCGGGATTTTTTTGTGTGTTGTTTCGTGTTTTCTCTTTTGGATTTTAAGAATTTGGGATTCCGGGAATACGAATCGGATAAATTATAGTCAATTTTCTAACCACAGTTGAAGAATTAGAAAATGGTTGGAGGTGGGAATCGGAGGGACGAGGGATCGTTTAAGATGACTAATAACAATGTTTTTGCGGCGCTTGATAATTTGAGGAAGAAGAAGAAGTCAGATAAGGAGAAGGGCTTAGGGAAGAGCAGTAAGAGCGGTTTGAAAACTGCAGCTGGGAAATCGAAAGAACCTGAGGAGAGGCCGCAGGTTTACTGGGCTCCTGCGCCTTTGACAGTGAAGTCTTGGGCTGATGTGGACGATGATGATGATTACTTTGCCACCACTGCCCCACCCCAGGCTGTATGGGGAGGTTCGGATTTGAATCAAACTGAAAAAACTATGCAACCAGATCCCATTGAGGTAAATATATAGACCGATGTTTATATTATTATTTTTTTCTTTATTTAACGAAATTATTGATTGAGATTTGTCACATTTTGATTACTGGTGGATGATTGTTCTGAACCAATCCAGTTAGTTTGGTGTTGCTTTGGTGTTTATATGTTTGTTTATACTAGGAGACAGTGGCATATTCAGAATCTTGGGTGAGCACGGGCGGTCGTTGACAGTTAGTCGTAATAAAATATTAATTATTTTGCTAAATTGGTTTGAAAGGGATTCGATCTTCGAACCTCCAATTTGTATGTATAACCTCTAACCAACTGTGCTAAAATCAATGTTTGAAAATAAAATGAATCACCAGTTATATAACCTAAAAATTTTATCTACTGTCAACAAAAAAAATTTGTTCTCGGCGGATCCAGCATGGGCGGCCACGGGGGCTCGCCGGCTGCTGGGTCCGCCCCTGCTAAGTGATATGATTGGTATTACTATCTTACTCTTTTTTACTTGTGTTTACCATCTTTTGCATAGTCAATGAAACTTATGTAGTTTATATATAGATAATATATTCTTCAAAATAGGAATGTGTATTGGATAATTACGATGCGATTCGATCAAATGTTACGCATGGTCATGCGGTGGTGGTGGTGTCGTGCACCCTTCCCCTACCTTCTGGTGGTGGCTAAGAAAGTGCTTGATAATTTTGATAAAGAATTTACAGATGACTTTTAAAAATTTTGTGGATGTATAGAAAAGAGAAACATGTTTGATGTGGAAAAGGGTTGCCTGTATATGCTCTATCATGTTTTATAAAGAGACATGATATCTGTGTTTAACGGGGAAAGAACAAAAAGGGAAGGTGAATGAGTGATTCTCACTGTTTTGTACTACGACTAGTAATTTATACCTTCACTCATGATACATCCAATACTTCTGGGCTGTCCAGTTGATTACGCTGTAAGCTATTGAAATTATTGATTTGACTTTTCCCCTTAATTAGATCATTAAGATGAGTTTACAATTGATGTTTTTGGTAAAGGCTCTTATAGTGAATCGGTACATTTATTGATCGTATCTTTCTTTACTCTTTAGTATCCATCCTTATCCATTGGATTTTATACTCCCTTTCCGTGATTTAGCAACCAAGTTTTTATCTATATACTTGCCTAATGTCCTGGATGTGTTTGATGCAGTTTTTTTGGAAGTAGCACTTTCTTATTAAGTGTAAGGAAGCAGTTATTTTATTTTTTGGCTAATAGAATGAGACTTTTTTCTTTAAATGCGTCATATGCCCTTCAAAACGAAGTTATTGAAGATGATGTGCAACTCAATATTTTTGGTGAATAACATCGATTTTTTTTTCTTTAAATGGCTAATATTCCATTCAAAAAGAAGTTACTGAAGTTTGAAGCTAGTAAGAAATTCACCGTTTTAGATTACTGAAGCAGAATGCATTAAGAAATACATTGTTAGTGTAGCATTTATAACCTTCCTTGCAGAATCTACTTTTCCTAACTCCACACCCCTCTCTACCTCCCTCTCTCTGTATGTTTGTGTGTGTGTGTGTTTTTTTTTCATTTGTGTTTATTAAAAATGCTAACTTATAAGTAAAGACTTCGCAGATGAGAGATCGAATATGCAGCTGCTATTGTCTATCTTTCTCAAGTTTTATCTGCTTTTTTTAAACCACTTGAATCCATGCCTCACTTCCACTTCTTTAATCGTAGCCTTAGATCTCCTCAACTACTTTCCTCACTTGAAATAATATTTTCCTTCGCCATCACAATCAGGCTAATCAAGCAACGTCAATCCTTTTTCGCCGCTATGTTTGATTCATTGCTAAATCTAGTAGCTAAAACAACTAGATACTTAGAAACTGTGACAAACCATGTTAGTTGGTCCTTCCCTCTTTTAACATGTTCTATGGAGACTGCCTCACTCTTGTGAACAACAACAGAGCCAAGCATATTGTCACTGGTTTTTATACTTTGTAGATATGCCTTTTATCCAATTGCTTAGTTATTTTTCCTCTGGTAAGATGAAATCCCAGAAGATGACATCATTTTACAAATCTGAGATCCCAGGTTTTCAATGTATTGCCCAGCTAGATTTCTTGTCATTCTTGGAATTTTAGGTGATGAATGTTATTAAGATAAATTGTGTAAGTAAATATGATTGTCTGTTGCAATTGCAGGAAAGTGAAAGTGAAGATGATCTTGATGAAGCTGATGATGTGGAGGAGGAGCACGAGCATGAACTGCAAGTGCAGGAAAAGCCCGAGCTAGTACCGATAAAACCTCCAGAAGGTTCACGTGCACCTAAAGAGACAGAAAGGCAACTATCTAAGAAGGAGAGAAAGAAAAAAGAGATGGCCGAACTGGAGGCTATTTTGGCTAATTTTGCTGTTACCCCAAATGAGAAGACCATAGATGAATTGCCTGGTAATTGTGTATCTCCTTGTCTTCACGAAAACCATTTATTTCTCTTTTGCTAGAGATCAGCTTTATTTTAAGATTTCTTCTTCATAAATATGCTTTTTGATTATTATTATTTGACATCTCTGAGGTTCATGTACATTTGAGTTAAATATTTTGTTGCTGTCTTCATGTCTGGTCCTTGTGGCTTGATTTTATTGTTTCTGGGGTAATTTTTACGTCTTGTTGAGACATCAATGTGGACTTTCATGAATTCGTTCTCTCTATTGGTTCCTTTTGGTAAAAGTTGACTATCATTGGTGAGCCTATAATGTCAGATATTTCAAATTATCAACCTTTCCAGCTAAACACCTTGTTTCTTTACAAACTCGCAGATGCTACGAAAGAAAAGAAAGAGGGACAGTTGAATGGTGAAACAGAGAAGAAAGATAGCGTCCCTGCAGAATCCAAAAATGCAAAAAAGAAGAAAAAGAAGGATAAAGCTTCAAAAGAGGTGAAGGAACCGCAGGAGCAACCGGGCAGCTCAAATGTTTCTAATGGACAAGAGGAAAATGCTGGAACCGAACAGTTGGAAGATGATTCATCAGCTGTTGACATGAAAGAGCGGCTAAAGAAAGTGGCATCTGCAAAGAAGAAGAAATCTAGTAAAGATGCTGCTGCAAGAGCTGCTTCTGTGGAGGCTGCTGCAAGGAGTGCGAAACTTGCTGCTGCTAAGAAGAAAGAGAAGAACCATTACAACCAACAGCCAACACGTTAAGGGCAGTTTTTTGAAATACTTACAGATGGAGCCGGGTATTTCATTGTTTATTTGCTCATGCAAAATAATCTTCGTACTCCAGCCTCTTGTTTCATGACAGATGCACATGCTAATACAGTGTCGCTCATTGATTTTTTTTCCAATTTTTTTTTCTTTTTTCAAACTCCGAATATGAGTTTGTGTCATTATTGTACTTTTTACAATGTATCTACCGATTTTGTTACGGAATAATTTTACTTGATGAGACGCATGCTTTGTCACATTGTGCATTAAGGTCATGATAATTGAGCTCTCTTATTAGTTTTGCATTCTTAATCTTCACTGGACGAAATTAATTAATTGGGAGGTTGCACGAATGAGTTTGTTGAATGCATACAGGAAACCGACCACCTTGCTTGTGTTTGTATCCGATTGTGTTGGAGCTAAGAAGTGCAGACCCTTCATATTTCTCTGAATCTCTTTCAATTCTCTCTGTTTAATGATGAATGCTTCGATTTTACTTGAATAGATCTTTAGTAGTTTGCCATGAAAGAGAGAGACGATGAGAAGAGGAATATATAACTTCTTTTTGCAGGGCAATTTCGGAAGTATAAAAATTATTTCACTCGGTTAACCTCCGATTTATAAGGATCTAGTTGTTATGATCTAGTAATGAGCTAAATAGAGTGGCTATAAAGGATTTATGCACGTGTACCTATATAACTTACTTTAGAATTAATATACTTGTACAAGTATTTTGATAAGTAGTGAGGTACAAAGATTCTTGTTATTGATTTCAAAAATAGGTTTTCAAATTAATGGATATGATATGTGTCAACTTATACATTGTCAAACTAGTTGTACAAGTAGCATGATTGCTTAATTTATTGTTGTAGTACATGTAAAGTGTACATGACATTTGTTGCATCAACAATTTTGCTACAGGTACAATTTGGTTGACAGCGTGTGAGGTGAATATGATATGTGTCAGCTCATACATTGTCAAACTAGTTGTACAAGTAGCATAATTGTTTAATTTATTGTTGTAGTACATATAAAGTGTACATGACATTTGTTGCATCAACAATTTTGCTATAGGTACAATGTGGTTGACAGCGTGTGAGGTGGTTAACATTTTTGTCATTGATTTTAACATACTTAAAACAATCAATGACACAAATTTTTTACACATCGTTGAATGTCAACAATCAATAGACAAATAGCATAATTTGTTGCAACCACAACGTATTAATTTACCATGTTTTGTAGTCATATTATGTTTGGGGGTGTTTTTCTTCTCCTTTATATTTGCATGTTTTTTTTTTTCGATTCTTGGTTTCAAATATAATGCCCAAATAAGTTTGAGAAATTATCCAATTTTGTGTTTACATAATTTGTCATTTTGTCTTATGTGATGTCCAAATTGTTATCGAGGCACATTAAATAGCTATCTTAAATTTCAATTGAATGCTAGAAAATGATTGAATTATCATAATTGGATGTACCTCCTATAGTACTTGTTTATTTTCTAGGCTCTATAAGAGTGTGTTTGATAGATATTATTGCGAAAATAATATATTTTAAATAGATATATGATGATAAATATGCGGTTAAAAAATAAGGAAGAGTTATTGATGTGATACAAAATATTATTTTATTGAAAAATGTACGACTGAAAATGAGTTTTGAAAGAATGTGTACAAAACAGGGGCTAAATAATATTTTAAATAGATTGTTTTAAGTATAGTATAAAGTCATGGCACATATATTAGGAAAGCACAAATTCCAAAAGCATTACTTTTGTTCAAAGGTATTGAAATTCCTAGTGTGCCACAAGAGTTCACACTAAAATTTGATTTTCTGCATCTTCTTTTGAAATAATACGAACAGTTTAATTGTTTAAATCAGAGAATTTATCCTTTCGTAGAGGTAAAATAAATTGTAGCAAAAGGTCAAAAGAATAATAATTTTAATTGAATAACAACGTAAGTACGTACTTAAAAACTCGCCCTTAATACCATTTTATTAATGCATACAATCTTTAAGATAGTCATTAAACCATTAAGCCGTCAAAACTAATAGCTTAAACTTTATTCTGATTAATTTGAAGATAAAAAAATTTCTCCGATTTTTCAGATGAAGGATTCAGAGATGGCAATGCTTGCATGTCTCTTTTCTAAGAGTCACACCATGAATTTTATTAATTACAACTTATTTTTTAAATATTCTTTAATTTACTAGAGGACCATAAATGGTTCCAAATGTTTATTAGGGCAGCTATATTTACATTATAATTTTTTTTTTTGGTTACGTTAAAAGTCTTCAATCTTGTTGAATTCTTATTATCAAACTTTCGTTAAATAGCACATTTGGTCCCTAATGATGATTTTTATCCAAATATTATGTTAGCGCGCATAGAATGAGGGGCAAATATTCTTCAAAAGCATATTTTTAATTATTTGTCAAGACCCCTCCAACTATGAATGTTTTTAGCTTTTCTATTCGTTATCTTCACTTTTACTAGTATAGATTAAATTTATAAGATGAGAGGCATTACGGTATGTTGTCACGTTTAGTTTTTTTTCCTAACGATCTGAACTCCTTGGGGATAGCCATGTATCCGTTCAATTAAACCCTCGGATTTAGTTCAAACCTTCGGGTTCAATTTGCAACGCTTGCATGAATTGCTATCTTCATGATGTGGTAATTCTCAGTTTAGTACGGTAATTGATTTCTTTATACGATTTCATGGTTGGATCAATTGTGGCCGTCTTCAAGTACATTACTAAGTGTATTTTATGTACTTATCCATCTCTTTTATCATTACACGTAATTAAATGATTTTAGCTTCGAGAGTGGCAGATGGCTGCATGGAGGGACACGGATTTCTCTTCAATGATTAAGTTTGAGGTTTGTAACCCGCATTTATGTCACAATATCTCCCATGCAACTTATTTTTCTTTGTTTCATTGCATGCGAAACTCAATAACGACTTTTTAAACTCAGCATTTTGACTTATATTTGAAACTGTATTATGAATTGTATATTTTGAATAGAGTTGGAGACTAGTTGGGTTGGATATCTCTTCGAAGCCTCTGTTTGGCCCCCATTTTGGGGTGTTGAAAATTTTTTGAATAGTGATTGATGAGAGAATGTGTGATAGAAAAGTAATGAAAAGTTTTAAATTTGTGTATTATTTGATGAATGTGTGGTTGAAACAAAGAGAGAGAAAAAATTAATATAATGTAATGGAAAAAAATGGGGGCCAAACGGGGGCTATGTATCCACAGGACTTGGTTTCACCTCGATTCAAGACTTGCGTTATAAGTTATGCCTTCTTTTGTGAATTGATATACAACTGCTCCGCAATTGCTTGCAACTTCTTTGACTAATCCATGGGCAAGATAAATTCTAAAATTCTAATATAATGTGAATGCATGACTTATATAACTACCTTTTAAATTTCAAATTTTTTGTAGAACGTTTCCTGAAAACTATTTTAGTATTGATTTAACTAATTCATGAACTTTTTCGTTATTTTTGAAAATTAATTAACTCACGTAACAGTTCGTTATTTGATACATTATGCAAATAACAAATTGTCATATGTATGCCATGCAAGACGACTATCGATAATACTCATATTTTAATGGCTCCATTATTTTCAATCATGCTATATGAACATCAAGGTTGATATAAAACTTGACATAACGTCACGTGACATTATATCATTAGACAAATTAAACACAATCAACTTTTGTATCGAATCATCTACTGTCACATGCAATTATGTCATACATTCTGTCAAAATCCTTCCAACAAATTAGCTTTATCCATGACCTTATAGGACCTACACGCTTGAATGACATCACTCTCCACAAAAAATTGTCTAATTATTATTATTTTCCATTTTTTGCTTCCTTTTACAGTAAAACCTCTGTAAAATAATAATGTTGAGACCGACAGAAAATATTATTTTAAGAGGATTACAAATTTATTTATAAATGAATAATTTATTGATAAATAAATATTTATTAATTTATAGAGTATTTTATATTTTTATCTTTTATTATATTTTACCATAATACTCTAAAAAAAAAAATTGAATGTGTAAGCACACAGAAAGACATACACATGTTAGATTTAAAAAAAAAAACTTAAGAATCTTTATATTGAAAATTCTTCTCTATATTGATGCCGAGATCCACCATGTCAAATTATCAAGAGAATTCTAAATTGGGGAACATACCTTGATCCATGGGGAATGAGTTTGATTACTGAATCTTGAATTGCATGTTCTTGATTAGAAAATTTGCGGGTTTCCTTTGGATATGCTTTATCTTGTTTTCTTGTATTGATGGGATGTTATATAGAATGAGAAATTACGTGTGAATTGGGGACCATAATTCCATATACATTTTTTCATGTGTATATTGGTCAATAATGAAATACAACAGAAAGGAATCTGATCTCTACACATATTAGACTTATATCATATTAGATGCCGAAGTTCAATAACTTTAATTCTTTATTAGACCATTTTAAATGGACTTAATCTTAAGATAACATTTAATACACAATTAATTATATATGAAGGGTCAAATGACAAATTAAAACCCAACGACAAGTACATACATTAAAGAGGAAACATTAAAGTGCAAGCATTGACTTCAATATGTCAAATATAAGTATGTGCATTGCAAAAAAATAATTACTCTGTATAAAATTAAAAATAATGGAAAAAAAAATATCATGTAATATGTGCATTGCAAAATATTAGACACGAAATTAGGGTGTGTTTGAGTCACATTATTTTAGAAGAATGTATTTTGAAATAGTAGATTGATGGAGAATGTGTGGTTGAAAAATAAGGAAAAATTATTGATGTGATAAAAAATATTATTTTATTGAAAAATGTGTGGTTGCAAATGAGTAGAAAAATGAAAATGAAAATTTTAATATAGTACAGGGCTAAGAAAATGAAAAAAATGTCATGTAATATGTTTGGTTTGGGTTCAAAG